ACATGGATGTGAATTCAGAAGTTACCATATATCTATCAGGTTGAATTCCAGTAAATAAGTTTGTAACACATTCTATAAATTAGAATTCAGTTTACTTGTAATTATTCTATAGTCAACTAAAGGACCCAAAACACTGGGGAAAAAACAACAACAGATGTTTTGTGTGACACAAACAAAAGCTGGTTAGTTTTATAGTATCTTTTATGCTGAATTCAGATGTTTTCATTTTCTCTATTAGGCAAGGTTTTTGAATGACACACAAGTTTACTTTGATAACAGCCTATATTTAAAAGTTAATTAAAAGCACAAATGTGTTGCATAAAAAGAAGTAGTCTTTGACTTTCTGTAGAATTTCACCTCAGGAACATCTCTCCTAAGGGTCCAGCAGTAATCAGCCGGCATACTGCGACTCCACTTCCCTTGGTACTGCTTTTCCATGTTTGAAATGTCCTAGTGAAATCATTCACCATGCTTGTCACTGACTACATCAAGGTTGTCAGGGAAAAATGAGTAAAAAAAATGAACTTTCAGTGGTGTATTACATCCCATAGGTTGGTATGACTTCAAGAGAACACTCACTACTTCATGGTGGTTTCCTACTTTATGATTTTCTAAAAAGTTTTACAGGTGCTTTTGAATTATTGTCATGCAGCTTTTTCAACTTTACTTAACTCTTCATCAAATGTGTTCGTCTTTTATCAATTCTCTTATCTGAGGACCTACAAAAGTATTTTCCTTAATCTTAGCATCACTAAGATGATTATTAGAAAATTCATTGCTGAAGTACATGAATCCAGTTTCTGTTTCATCCATCACTTTAATGGAGATTAAACTTTAGTATCATGACAGAAGATTCCAATCCTTTAATCTTGAACCTAAAAGTTCAGACTTCTTCTTAGACAAGTTCATACCATGAACAAGATAATTCAGATCCCCTTGTGGCTCATTTGAAGAGCAGATAACTTGAAATGTTAGGTTAGAATTAATGTTTTCCTTTTTCTGTTCTGCATATGAACCATCATCATCACCACTAGGTTCACTGTCATTTAACATCACATTTTCTGGAAGTTTTGGTACAGGCAACTCCTCTATATGGCACTGGCCTCATTGCAGATAGTAAGGGCATTTCACAGTGTGCTTGCTTTTAGAGGTGATCCCTGTTGTGCTTGCTAGGCAGAAATAACAATCTGAAGAATGGTCTTTTGACTCCTGCCAAACCATGCAAACAGCATATGGTGTGAATCTTTTAACTATCCTGTTAGAAGTCTAACGCATGTCACACAGCAAATGTGAGGGGCCTAATTCTTATCTTGGTCACCCACCTCACAATCAAAACAAAATTCATAGCATTTGTTGACAAGTGGGGTGAAGTTTCATTTCTCAAATTTAAATGTTATCACACACACAGCAGAAAGTATCAGGATGATTTGTACACTTTCGTGGAATGCTAACAATATGTAAATAAGCACAACACTATTACAATCAATCTAATATTTAACTTGAATAAAGAATATACTGTACACTTAAACAAGAAACTGCTCTCCAGGCTGAGGCTTGCCTCACGTCTAGACATGTGCAAACATAACTCCATCGGCTGTTGTCTGCTGGCTGTCATACACTCTATCTTTTTCTTGAGGTTATTTATGCTAGAGACAATAATGACTAGATTTTACTCAACAATATTTACAAGTATGCTATTATAGTTAAAGTATAGTACTGTAAAGTCATTAATTGAGCAAAATAATGAAGTTGGGATCCCAAGAAAACTAAGCCTGATAGAAAAGAAATGGATTTCATTTTTGAATTCAGCATGACAAAGTCTGCTTAGAACACCCATTACAATCCATGTACCAAAATTGTAGTTGACCAGTGAAATTTGTTTAGTCACCAGCCAGGATAATCTAAAAAGGGAAACATATGTATAAAACACTTGAGTGTCTTTAGTTGGAACATATTAATTAATAAGTATTACCCTATTATTACAACTTGTGTCCATGAGTGTATGATAATAGTAGTACTAGCGGTATTTGCCATGAAGTCAGTGTCAACTCCTAGTGACCATATAGATCTTTTCTAGGATGATGTGTCCTCAACCTGGTTCTTTAGGTCTTCCAGTGGTGCACCTGTTGCCTCTATAATTGCATCCATCCACCTTGCTGCTGGTTGTCCTCTTTTTCTCTTTCCTTGCATCTTCCCCAGCTTTATAAACTTCTCTAAAGACCTAGGTCTTCTCATAGTGTGTCCAAAATATGATAATTTGAACCTAGTCATTTATGACTCAAATGAGAACTCTATTGATTTGTTCTATGATTCACTTACTTGTTTTCTTAGCTGTCTATGGTATTCTTAAGAGTGTTCTGCAACACTAAAGTTCAAGAATCAATACTCTTTCTATTCTGCTTCTTCAGCGAACAGTTTTTGCTTCCATGGAATGTCACAGTGTAAACCATTGCCTACACAATTCTAATCTTTGTAGGTACAGACTTATCATGGCACCTGAATATCTTTTTCAAGGCCTTCATTATTACTCTACTATGTGCTGGTCTGCAGCATATTTCTTGACTGCTGATTCCTTTACTGTGGATAGTTGATCCTGAAAGGCAGAAGCTACCCACCACTTCAATATCTTCATTGTCATTTCTGTGGCTGGTCGCTGTACCTATTGTCATTAGTTTGGCCTTCTTTATGTTTAATTTTTTTACTGTGTTTCTTGACTTTCGTGACTAGTGTTTTAGATCATATGCATTTTCAGTATCAGAGTAGTGTCATTAGTGTAGCATAGGTTATTGACATTTCTTCCTCCAGTTTTAAAGCCACACTTATCTTCTTCCAGTCCAGCTTCCCTCAATATATATTCACCATATAGGTTGAATAAATAAAGGGAGAATATACAGCCTTGCCTCACTCTTTTTCCAATTTGTTCTGTTCAGACTGTGGTTTCCCAACCTGTATATGGTCATTTCATATGAGGATAATGACATGTTCTGGGATTCCCATTTTTCTTTGTATTTTGTGACTGAGTAATAAACAGTATGGTCTTCTGACTGAAAGTGTCCAATTCTAGTCCATTTCAATTTGCTGATGCCTAAGATGCTGATATATTGACACAGTCAAAAGCTTTTTTCTAATCAATAAAGCAGATACTGACTTTTTTGTATTCTTTGGGTTTCTCAACCATCCAGTGTACATCAGCAATAATGTCTCTGGTTCCTCAGCCTTTTCTCAAACTAGCTTAAACATCTAACATCTCCCTTTCTATGTAGGACTCTAATCTGCATTGGATGATCCTAATTATATTGCTAGTGTGTGAAATTAAGAATATTAAATGATAGTTTGTACAGTTTGTTAAGTATCTTTTTGCTATTGATACATAGATTTTTCCAATATGGTGGCCACTGTGGTATTCCCCAGATTTGCTGATGTAGATAGGTTAGAATCTTTACACGTTCTTCTTCTATTGCTTGCCATATTTCTGAAGATACTCCTCAATTCCTGTAGCCTACAGACTTGATAATGATAGGAGTGCTGATCCAGCTTCATCTTTTACTACCAGAGGTTCTTGTAAGTAGGAACAGAAGAAATGTTGTTATGGTCAGTGACCAGTGCAGTAAGTAGGGAATATTTTCTAAGATACCTTGTACGTTGATATCTCTACTGTAAAGAATTTTAGTATACTCCTTCCATCTATGTATGATCTTTGAATCCGTTATTCTCTATCCGTTGGTATCCTGTAACATATCTTATTTTTCCATGTCTCTTTCCATCTTCAGTGTCTTTACAGATGTTGTAATACTGCTTCTTGTCTCTTCTAATAGCTCTGTGAAATTCTTTGTAAAGTTCCTTCCTGTGATTTTTGTCTTTCTTGGCTTTTGCTTCTCTTTTCTCTCTCTCTCTCTCTCTCACACACACACACACACACACACACACACTCTGTTCTGAATCACCTATTTCTTGTTCCAAGGTCTCTATCTTCCCAGGAGTTTTTGAATTATCATTGATAATTGTTTGTCCTATCCATCTTCTAAATAAAATATACTTCTCCTATGGAAAAAAAAGTTTCTTGTAAAAGATGAAAAGAAACAAAATTCAACTCCCAATTTTAAATCATGCTTTATTAAAAACTTGCCTCCACTTAGAAGGGTTTCTACACCTTTAACATTCGAGGAGATTACTAAGAGCGGTGGTGTGCTGCAGCCAGCTGATTGTTAAATTTTCTTGAATTTTGTGAGCCAGTTGACAGTGGAGGTGAGCCTCTGCATGTAGTGCACCATTCAACAGAGTCAGTTCGTAAACATTTAGCAGCACACCACTGACTAAGCAACACAAATATAAAAAAATGTTGATTAAGCCACAGGAGACAGATGGTCCCTCAAATAACCAAGCCCTGTTCATGGTTTATTACATACGCTGCCCAATGTTACTACTTCAGATGGGTGGCTATACAAACATGATGGATGGATGGATGGATGGATGGATGGATGGATGGATGGATGGATGGTGTGTGTGTGTGGGGGGGGGTTATAACCAACACCTTGAATGGCACTAAGAAGCTAACCAGTGCAACTCAGGAAGAAGTGTTACATAAGCATAATGTAGCATGCTCATAACTACTCATAATACTACATTTTGGGTCAGCTGTACCAAGTGGCCTTCAAGGGCAGCCACATGTACAGCACATTGTAACGGTCTATACACCAAAATGTAAGTGACTGTGAGGAAATCCTCATGGCCCAGGATTGTGCAGTTGGTGCACAAGATGAATCTGCACAGAGGCCCTCCTAGCCACAGCTGCTACTTGCTCCTCCAGCAGGAGCTATGAGTTCAAGAGAATTGAGTTCCAAGTGGGACAATGCAACCTCGTTCAGTTTGTAGTACATTTAAAGCTTAGAGAAATTAAAATTCAATATCCCTGAAAACATTCTGTAAAAATAAACCATGAAACCAAACTTGCCTGGGCAGCTTTTTGAATGTGATTGCAGAGTTTTGTCTTGTGTTTACATAGCCACTTGTACAGGTAGATCACTTGAATTAACATGTAATATTGACCTGCCAGTGCATGAGCTTCTCTGATAATACAGAAATCAAATGATCAAATCAAAATATTTTTGCAAAAGTAAAATACTTTGGTGCATTACTAAAACTCACTCTTTGTATCTTAATCACATTATTGTTTGGGAAGGGTCAAGTAATCAGTATATGACTGTCCACATTAGTTTCAGTCTATATTTTTATTTCTGTAATATTCCATATATAGAATCCAATAGATGTGGTATGCATTCAGAGAGAGCAGCAAATTTGCAAGTTTTCCTAGAGTATTAACATTAATGTTAATGAATGCTTCATACTGTTCATTGTACATAGAAGTGAATGGGGCAATTGTGATGATGTGTATATTACAGCCTAGTGTATCTTGCATTCTCAATTTCAGCAATTATCATTTTTCTATGTTGAGTAACACATTGAGTTGCTATGATAATGTGTCACACATACACATTGTACAAAAAGGAACAAGTTTGCAAATTTGGAAAAATGTGTAGTTGCTAAGCCTATTTGCTAAGTTGGAGTAATAAAGAACTGTATATCCGTTCTGATTGAAAAAAATGAAAATAACTTGTTATTCACCCTCTTGTCCTTCCTTTGCTCCACTTTCGGTACTTTGTATACTTTTATTTATAGCTTGGTCACTTTGTAATTCATCGAGTATCACTTCGGCAGCAAGAGAAAGGAAAACGTAGTTCCGAAGGCTAAAACACTTCTGACAAATTGCCCCTTGGATAAATGCAGCTTCTATGCTAGAAACCTACACAGCAGAGCAGTTGGCTTTGTCCAGCTGCTGTATCTTTTATCCCTGTTATTGCTCTTCACTGCATCCTTTTTCACAACATGAAAGATACCTTTCAAAAGGCTCCTGCATGTTGTGCCAGTGGGTATTGCATGACTGTGTGAATGAACAATGGATTATGTGACAGAAGGGCCACTGCACAAACATGTGCCAAAGTAATGTTTTCCTGTGCACAGCAGTTTTCAAATAGTGATCTAGTTGCCACATTAGAAAGAGAGGAATAACCATACTACTGCTTACCTCTTTCATAGAAGAGAAGTCAGCAGGGAAAGGAGAAATCACTCCTGGCATTCACTTAAAAACAACGACTGAATGAGCATATCCTGGCTGAAAATGCAATATAGGAATGTATAAATTACCATGTTTTAAAACTGACAGGACAGTAATGCTGCAGACATAGGGTTTGTCTTTCACTGATGGTCTCTCAGGCAACATCAGTGATGTGGTTCTTTTCCAGCCATATTTTATTCAGCATTGGCAAAATGAATGTATTAGCTAGGTAACACAATAATTGTATTTTCTAAGATACAAAACCTTGAGTGCTGGGGAAGTAGGATTATCCCTGCAAGAGGAGCGCAATTACCAGGGAAGATAAAGATGGGACACAGCAATTGAGTAAGAAAAACAGCGTTAGCTATAATCCTATGCACTACATTGAGTCTAGTGAGGATTTCCAAGAATCTTTGCATAGGCTTGGGGTGCCATAGTTTTAAAGCACCTTCAGAAAGTTATATAGGCCTCATAAAATGAAAGGAGCAATTTACCTGACTTACAGGATTCATTATACATCTCTAACAGTATAAGAGCCAGTATATCTATAAAGGGTTTAGACATTCAACTGGAAAGCTGTTCAGACCTCTTTTCTATTTTTTCATCAATTGAATATTCTCTAATATTGCTTGGAGGGATAAAGACCTACTCAAAATATCAATATCATCCTGTGATAATGGCGGAATATTAATCTGACTTGAAAATTCATTAATATCTTGTTGATCAGCTTTATCCTGCAATTTGTATAATGATTCATAACACTGAAAAAAATTGTTAATAGATTCAAAATCAGTAATTCTCTGTCCATCTTCTGTTACTATTTCACGTATTATATTCTGTTCACTTTTTTGCATCAGGCAATGTGCCAGCAATTTACTAGCTTTTTCACCTGATTCCCAATCTTTAACTTCAGTCTCATCAAAAACCTGCTCAGCATAGAAGTCAGCCAGCTTTACCATAGCTAACCTAAAAGCACTTTAAGTCTGTTCTACAGGGCTTTTTGCATAGACTAAAAATGTTCTTTAACCATGATAGGAAGGAAGGAAGGAAGGAATCAATCTTTCTACCTATCTATCTATCTATCTATCTATCTATCTATCTATCTATCTATCTATCTATC